CACACACACACACGCCCCCCCCCCTCCACACACACGTATGACACGTCGCTCCACCTGGTGACTAGCTAGTAGATGTCGTCTGCTCCCCTGCAGTGCCTCGCGCTTCCGCTGGATGCAGTTCCCGAGCAGGAAGTTCCGCACGACGTGGGCCGTCAAGGACGTCTACATCGGACGCACCTGCCCTGACATGTGCGCCAACCACGGCGTCTGCCACCGATCCGTCTGCCTCTGCGACACGTAAGCGTCTCCATGGCAACGTGCTGCTTACCTGCGCACGATCTATGTATCGTACTGCGCCCGAATGTTTCATATGTAGTATATATGCTTAAAAAAAAATTATATATGTATATATTTAAGTTACACACACACACACGCACGCACATACACAAACGCACGCACGCACGCACGCACGTAGTATATGGGTTACATATATAATATACATGTTACACATATATTATAAAGGATACACATAGTATATAGGTTACATATATAGTGTATATAGGTTACATATATAGTGTATATAGGTGAGATAATATAGATTTCTGTATGGCAAATTCCAAGTCATAAACCTGTCAGTTCTCGCTTGGCTCCCATACTCACCAGCAGCTCTGTGCTTATTGATCCCTGACGAGCTAACAGGTCACTGTTAATTTCTGTGATAATATTAATTAGAGTTTCTGCTAATTATCTCTGCTTCTCTCAGAGGCTACACTGGAGCTAATTGCACGACGCGAGTTCAGCTGAAGCCAGCGACCACGCCCGCGCCGATGCCGGACTCCACCCATCCACCGTCCAAGACGCTCGACCCAGGTATCAGACCTGCTGCGACTCCGCCTCCCACAAGGAGGTACTCCGATCTGCCGCCCACCTCCGAAATACCGGAGGACATCAATGCTGGAGGCAAGTGCCTCTTCTTCGGGGGAGGAGTAGCAGTATAGTAGAGTCTTCTTCTTTTTTGTCGTAGTCTCTCGCGGATGGTCCACGCTGAGACGTCAGCTAGGGGCTGACCTCCCTGTTGATGATTCTTCTCCATCCATTCCTTTCTCGATCGGCCTTATCGTCCTCTGTTACTACCCTGGGGTGTATCTAGGATTTTTTCTGGGTGGGTCGTGATCATAATTTTTTGGACCTTTTCACAATGAAGTAGCAGCAGGATGTGATTAGAATGTCAATACAATCAGGGGCGTGTACAGGATTTGTACCAGGGGGGGGGTCTAACCATAACCCAAACTTGGCAGCACGCGAAGGGGGGGTCTGGGGGGCCCTCCCCCACAAAAATTTTGAAATTAGACCTCCTTAGATGCGTTTTCTGCGCGAGCAGGGGGGTCCGGACCCCCTGGACCACCCCTGTACACGCCCATGACAATTTAATTTAAAAAAAAAAAAATTAAAAAAAAAAAAATTTCTGTTTCAAAAAAAGTTTTCGGACTCAGTTGAAAATAGAGTTTTTTGAACTTTTTGTCTTTATCTTGTCTTGTCTTGATCTTGTCTTGTCTTTGTCTTTGTCAGTCTTTGTCTCTCTTTTATGAAACAAAATTTTGTTTAAAAAAAAGGCTCAGTTTCAGAATTGCTGGAATTGGGATAGATTTACGTCACGCAATTGGCAATGTCGTTGGACTCATAGCTGGTACCTGATCTTTTTCATTTATGTCATTGTAAAAAGGCCCTCGAAAAAAAATGTCTTTGGAAAAAATGTGGACCTTTTAAAATTTTTGGGGGGTCGTACGACCCTCACGACCCCCCCCCTGCATACACCCATGCTACCAACCTTCTCATCTCCGCCTCCACTCCATCTTTCCTTCTAAACTATAGTATAGTAGACTGTGATAACTCAGTATGTGGTGACATCTGTACGTGGTGACATCTGTACGTGGTGACATCTGTACGTGGTGACATCTGTACGTGGTGACATCTGTACGTGGTGACATCTGTACGTGGTGACATCTGTACGTGGTGACATCTGTAGTGGTGACATCTGTATGTGGTGACATCTGTATGTGGTGACATCTGTACGTGGTGACATCTGTATTATTGTAGAGTATTGTCGTACTCTGGGATGAGTACCCGATGATATGCAGAAAGGACCTGTGTCCATGCAGTGGAGGGGTCACTGTACTCTGGGATGAGTACCTAACCATGTGGAGAGATTCGTATCCTTGTGGTGTACTTGTATTATAGCACTCTGGGAGAAGCACCGAATGATATATGCAGACATTTGTGTAGTGCAGACATTCGTGCACCTGTGAAGTTTTATACGTTTGTAGTTTGTACGCCCTCTTCTATCGAAGATTTAATCTTTCCACCGAGATTTAAACCTGACATCGTGAGGTCTGTGTGTTCTCGTTCTAGAAGCCCCAGACACAGGTGAGCAGGAGCTATGGTTTCCTGATGGTGAGATGTTACCAGATGAGGACTACGAGCAGCTAACCTTTGAGCCGGACCTCGAAGATTTTGAGCCTGTGCCGGAAGCTATCCAGGATGACCAGGTCTGTGTCGCCACCTACATGTAGCCATAGTAAACATGGTGTCGTGTTGCCCGAATAGGATTGGTTATTAAAGCCAAGCTGGATGATTTCGTTTCACCGTCGTCGCATGCGCGCGATACGAAAAACATTCGTTAGAAAATGAGATATTTCTTGATTGCGCCCCTAACGATATGACTACCTATCTGTTGATATATGTTGGAGCATCAAAACACTGAGTACCGTATTGTTGTGAAGATGCTCCCGGGATGTGCATCGCCAAATCCCACCCTCTCCCCCTCACCCACGTCCTGCCGGGTTAATCCACGACCTCCTCCTCCTCACCCACGTCCTGCCGGGTTAATCCACGACCCCTTCCCCCGCACCCACGTTCTGCCAGGTCCACGACCCCCTCCCCTGCACCCACGTCCTGCCGGGTTAATCCACGACCCCTTCCCCCGCACCCACGTT